AGAAGATGGGTGGACACAAAACCTCTGCCCTTTCAAGCATGGCTTTTCTCCTCAGTCAGCAGAGGTGATGTTAGATGAAGAGAGCAGCTAATTGTGTGATTGCTGAGCATTACTAAGTCAACAGTCCTCATGAACCATAGAACGAGGCAGGTTGAATGATTTGTTTCTTTTTCTTTTTCAATGTTCTCAAATTCATAAGCACCATGAGTGTTTTGAAAAATAAATGTTTGCGCATTTCGCTTTTAAGTAGGCTAATATGAGAATGTTTTTGTTCTCTCTAAATCCTTTGCTCTAGCTGGTCACAATGGTACGTGGAATAATCAGTGATTGCACTATTGATGGCATTTAGATCATGTGTGGCTCTTGAGTTCAGGGGACCTTCACTTTCTCTCATTCTTACACAAGTGAAAGGTTGTTTATGCATGGTGTCATATGATGTCTTGTGGCCCTTTGCGTCTTCCAGCAGAACAGAACAGTGACAGTTCTATTTGGCTGCCATCTGATCGACACGCTGTCTTCAAGTCACATGAGGGGCACTCTAATTTCCTACTCCTTCATTCACTTGCGTGTACAATACTTGTGTGTTAGACAGGGAGGGGACAATGAATAAGTCTTTAAAATATTCATTTGGCATTATTTGTTTTAGAGGTTAACCTCACTATCGTGAACGAGTTGTATGCTTTTCCTCTTTGGCTTAACAACAAGATGAGAAAATGGCACTATGGCACAGTTGTTTTAAAAGAGAACCCTAATTTTAATAGGCGCTCAGAGAAGCGAGGACTAGAGAAAACCTTATCTCAGCCATTAGGTGGGCATCAGTGTGAAGAGAAGAGATTAGAACCACTCAATCCTGAAGCACACTTACTTCCTGTGAACCTGTCTTATTTATTATCTACCTTGTTTTTATTTATCTATTTCTTCCTATCTTTCTTTCTTTCTAAAACATTCAATAAAATACACTTCTTTTGGCAGCTGCTTTTCATTTCTTCGTCTTTGACTTTCATTATTACTATTATCAGAATACTCCATAGCTTCATTTCGTAGGTAGTCACTATAAAGTGAATTATACTGCATTCAAAGCATACATTTTGTCAGTTCATACAATTCCCAGGGTATCAAACCCATGACCTTGATGTTGCTAGTACCATTCTCTACAGAAACAAAAAAACATCATGTCACCTCATGAATAATTAATTAGGGTTTACTTTGCCATTCACTTGTCAGATAACGATTTTTTCCCCTCTTGGTTGTTTACCAGCCTTCCCTCAGTGCAGGCAAAGTTTATTATCAATGTCAAGTCATTTGCAAAAAGAGTTCAGCACTTGGCGGTTACTTAAAAAAATTATACAGAGGCACCCTGAGAAAAAAAAGACACCTTGGAAAAAAGAAACCCTGACACTGAAACTGACATAGGTCACTAAGAAAAAGTCGATGTCCTCTGTGCTGCCGCAGTGCCACAGCCCCAGGACTCCCAGCATGCTCTCTTCTCTTTTACTCTAATGAGTTGCAACACAGATAATGTGGCTGATGATCTTTCATTGATTTGGCTATCACTTGCTTGTCTGGTAATTGATCCGTAGCTGAGCCTCTAGTTAATTATATCAGCTTCGACATGGCCCTAGTCTGGAGGGAATTTGAAGTCTTGCAGAATAATAGTTTTAATAAAGGAGTCCATTACTGGGGCTCTCTGCTTTCCTTGACTGCTGCTTCTGCTGCTGCCACTGGCTGGATCTGAGCTCAAGCTCACCTGCGTGCGTGCACGTGTGAGAGAGAGAATGAGGATGGGACAAGCTGAAAGAAAAAGATGGAGCCAACATGCAAAAAGGGAAAAGGATATTAGCCTCTTAAAACTCTCACAAATAACAACTATTAATGGGGAGGTCAGAAGCTGAGCTGACCGCTTAACTTAAAACACTCTGTAGCTTTCAAAAATCAAGCACATTCAAGAGAGAAAGTCAAATGAAGAGCAATTAAGACAGTTAAGACTAAAAAAAAAGAAGAAACAGGTTTACTGGAATTGGGTTTATCGATAATGTAACCGGTAGAGATTTTTTTTAAAGCCATGGTTACTACACATTAATGTCCATGTTGTATTCAAAAACAACAATTGACTGCCATTTAGTACTGAACAAGAGAAAATCTGAGCAGAGAGATGAAATGGAGGGGACAAATGTGTGACAATAGGCTCTAAGCATCTCTCTCATTAGTGTCCATTTGCTTGTAAAGACGTGCAGTCCTCAAGTCTTTGGTTACTGCGGAAGGCACTCTACACTTGAGAGAGAGAGAGAGACAGACAGAGAGAGAGACAGACAGAGAGAGAGAGAAAAGAGGTGAGGAAAAGAAACAAAACGGCATATTAAGTTCTCATTGCGGCTGCCACCATTCCCTTTTGCCTTTTCATTCAATCTGAAAAAAGAAAAAGAAGAAGAAGACACTAGATTTGATCAGACAAAATGCTGTGCAGATTACTCAGGTAAAGGTTAGCCAGAGCTGTCATTAGTGCTGTACAGAGGCTTTTAACAGACAGTAACAGCTGTCTCCTTCAAATTGCCACAAAATTTCAAGTGGCTTTCTACATACGAGAAGCCATTTAATGTAGCGAAAGGGAGAAAAGTTAATTCCCTTTCTTTCTGTCTCATAGAAGGGAGATCACAGTGACATCTTCCTCAGACATACTCGCATTGTCAAAGACTGTAATTTTAACAGCTGACGAAATGCTGAAGGAAAAAAACTTACGAGAGCAAAAACATGCAATAATAACAAAAAATGGCTTTATTACACAACACATTTCTCAGGTAAAATGTTTTGGCATGTACAACGAGGGAGAGATGCTGCCACTTATTGTAAGTGCATATGTTAGGGCTTTCTTTCTCTCCTCCACCTTTGTGAGACTGTCTGCTGCGGGGACCAATTTGGCAAAAATGGAGCCTCTTCCTCATTTTTTTCTTAATTAAAATCTGAAAGCATCCACTCGAGGTTTCCCTGCGTGTGTGTGTGTGTGTGTGTGTGTTTGTGTTTGTGAGTGGGTGAGAGTATGTATGATTATGTGCTCTGCCGCACTACTCCACAAGACGGTGTGTGTGTGTGTGTGTGTGTGTGTGTGTGTGTGTGTGTGTGTGTGTGTGTGTGTGTGTGTGTGTGTGTGTGTGTGTGTGTGTGCGTTCGCAGGGGGAGTTGTTGGAGGGGGGGCGTGGACTGATTACATACAACCATTAGCTAGAACTGTTTAATACAAGGGAAGAAAAACAGACAAAGGAATAAGACTTGGTGATAAAAATCAAGGGTTTTTCTGCCTACCCTAAATAATGACACGTTGCTACTTCTTTCCGGCTATTGAAACACAATGTGTTTTTTTATTATTTTTTTAATTCCTGGTAGCAAATTGTTAAACATTTTCTGTAAGTTTACCGGCTGTCCAACGTAAAGTGAAATAAATGCAAAATAAAGTGCAGTTGGAAGGCTCAGAAACATCTTTTGGTTTAGCATTGAGGCTATTATAGAAGTTGGAGCTTGTCCAATTGTATTGACAAATGCATTATTTGCTTGGAACAGTTGTGTGGATGGGCCAGTTATATGTGTGTGTGTGTGTGTGTGTGTGTGTGTGTGTGTGTGTGTGTGTGTGTGTGTGTGTGTGTGTGTGTGTGTGTGTGTGTGTGTGTGTGTGTGTGTGTGTGTGTGTGTGTGTGTGTGTGTGTGTGTGTGTGTGTGTGTGTGTGTGTGTGTGAGTGCATGTATTAGAGAGTGGCTCAATCCCACTGAGGTCTGGAGTGGAGAAGCATCAGGCATGGAGAGCTGGTAATAAGACAGGGACAACCCTTTCCCCTCCTGCTCTCTCTCTCTCTCCCTCTCTCTCTCCCTCTCAGTGGGAAAGCAGATCAGTGGAGGAGAGAGAGAGCCGTGTCATTGAGTGCCAGCAAGAAGAGAGGAGCAGTTAACTCAGACGCGCTGCGGCCCGACACACACATGCTCTACCTCACAACAACACACATGTACTCACGGCTGCACGCACATGCACACTGACACAGCGCTAGCTGGAGTTAGTCTGGAAACAGAGGACAGGCTTCTCTGAGGGCGAGAAGGGGCCCGAAGAAAGCGAGGGAAGGAAAAAGAGAAAGAGTAAGAGAGGAGGGGCTGCTTTTGAACTGACACACTCCAACACCTGATCTCTACACAGCTGGGAGGAAAACCACGCCGGACACTCTGGTGAGAAAGGGCACCTTTTGGGGAGAAGGGAGGGACGATTTGTCTTTTGCTCTTGTCTCATTTCAGCTCTTTTCTTTGGAATGAAACTTTGAGCTGTTAGCGATAGTTTTGGATTGTGAGATATGGAGTGTAGTAGAGCTGCAAAGAGCCAAAAAGTGTGGTGTTTTTGTCTGTGTTGAGATGTGTGAGGGGGTTCAAAGGGCAGGTTACGGGTGACTGAGTGTGCTCGACGATTGATTTCTGTTTGGAATGTATGTATGTGTATGTCCGTGTATGTTTGGAGGACAGCCCATACACAGCTTGACTGACATTTCAAAAAAACAAAAACAAAAAAAAAGTGAAAGTGTTTGTGGGGGGGACGCAGACAAAAAAAAGAAGCTCCTTCACCATCTCCTCCTCCATTTTTCTGCCATCCCCCTTTTTTTCTCTCCCTCCTGCACTTCACTTCAATTCACACCCCCATCCCTCTCTTCCTCCCTCCTTACCTCCGACACTCTGCTCATCCTGCCCTCTACCACCACATGCCCCAGAGGAAATATGCATTGTGCAGCCCTGCTCCTGAATTAACTCAACACACTCCTCCTGCTACTGGCAGGCAAGACCCTCCACTTTCCCCCCTCTCTCAAGAGAAGATAGCAAAGAGAGAGAGAAAGAAAAGGAAAGACAGAAAAGAATAGGACAGAAGAGAAAAAAAAGAACAGAGCAGTCACCCTCTGCCTCTTTGAACCTCCACCTTTACGTACTTTTCTCTCCGGCTCCCCTGTTCACCCCCCCTTCCCCCTCTTCTCTGCCGCCAGTCTGAGGAGACAGAGTTGGATGTGAGAGGCGGTGTGGTGTGGAGAGAACGAGATCGAGAGAGGGCACGCGAGTCCACGGCCAGAGCCAGCAGCAGGAGCAGCAGCAGCAGCGGTGCAGGGGGAGGAGGAGGAGAAGAAGGAGAAAGCTCCATGCAGTTCAGCACCAGACCGGCCAGCGCTGAGCCGGGCTTCATGGGGACATGGACACAGCAGAGCACTGACAGCAACCTCCTCTTCAGAATGTCCCAGCAGGTCAGTGGGATGCTGTCCCCGTGTGTCATTGTGTCTGCTATGTCTTTGTGCAGTTGTTAAAGTGTGTTTGTGTGTAAGCAAGAGTCGACCATTTTCTTTTCTTTTTTGTTAGCAAATTAACATGCATGAGTAAAAAAAAGTTTCTATTAGTGTCAGTGAATTGTTTAATTGTTTGTTACTTGTTAACCATATTTAGTTTCAATTCTTTTTGTGGTTTAGTGGCTGGGGTCCATTGTCACAAATTGCTGTCTTTGTTGTAAAGTTTGTTAAGCAGAAACTAGCTTTTAGAAATTGTTAGTGAATTTGCAACGGGTCACTTTTTATTTCCTTTAGTGATTCTTGGAAAATCAGTCCGTGGCTTCAAATCTAATTGATTTCATCTGTAAGTTTTTTTTATTTATTTATTTATTTATTTATTTATTTATTTATTTATTTATTTATTTTTGCTGTAGTTTTTAACATCAGAAAATTGTCTAAGTACATGCTGTAGCTGTGTAAAATGTACAGATCTTTAAGTGCACAGTTATTCTGAAGTTCATGTGTAGAATGCTTTTATCAGGACAGAATGTTTATGGGAGGGGGATCAGGGTCTGTGGAGGGAGAGATGGTGAGCAGAACATTAATCATCAGGGCTGGTTTCTCTGTGCCATGCACACGCTGATACGAGCGCAGGCCCCTGGATTCCCTTTGGCCAACAACGGGGGTCCATCCACATATCTTTCCAGATTCTGCGCTATTTTTTTTCTTTCTCCACTCGACCAGCTCTCTTTTTATATATGCAACATTGACATGCGTATCGATTAAACACGAAGACCGTAACACAAATATGAATAGTCATTATCTGACATCTGACATTCACATAAAAAGGTTCCTAATTAATAACAATAACAACAATAATACAAAGTTTAAATAAAGCAACAATTCCGTTCAATGATAGAGAATTTCGTGTGTGTGTGTGTGTGTGTATATATATATATATATATCACACTATGTATATCATAAAGTAATTCTATGTAAAAAGAAAAAAAAAAGCTCTTATACTTATAGCTCTTGCTAACTAATAAATGAGGATTCTTATTGAGAATGAAGATTTGAATGGTGGTGATGAGTCGCGCGCTGCGCTGCACGGCGCATCGGAGCTCCGGCGCAGGTGGATTCTGTGCTGCGCTTTAAACTTAACCAGGAACACATTGAGGATGAAAGGTTTCTTAAACTTTTGACAAGTTATCGGAAATTCTGTTCGGGCTCTACGCGTTTAGTATTTTTGTCTAATAACACTCAAACAGCAAAACATTTTGAACATTTGTTGAACATGTTGTATGCTTGTTTAAACAGTAGGCTAGGCTATGTCCCTGATATAGGCTAAAATATGAGTAAGATAATTCAAGATAATTCAAATGCCCTTTATTTTAATTCGACTCTAAATCATTCGATATGATTATTTTATTATGAGAGTGTCGAATGTAGTTAATGAACATTGATGACTGTGTAATCCTGCTGCTATCAGTTATTTTGTCAGAACAACATTTTCTCAGCTGTCCAGCTGCAGCTGTGCTGCTTAAACAGAAGTCATAATGTAAATATTATAAACACAAGCCTCTTTTAGTTATAAATCTTAATGAAAAATTTTGAGAGAAAAAATAACCTTCCAGTTCATAATAAATAATAAAATTTGCGCGCTTCTCATATATGGCACGGGGGGAAATATCCACTGAACCTTGCTCAGGTGTGTGTGCTCTTTATTGTAAAGAAATGCAGCGAAAGGGTTTTTCCCACCCTAAACTATTTATTTGGTTATATGTGTTTTCCCCTAAATGTATGATTCTAAAGAGCTTTTATAGAATGTATTTTGAGCTACATCCCTAAACTAATTATCTATATGTATGATTCATAGTCAATTAACATTATTTTTCGTTTTATTTAATTTAAAAACTCACTTGCGCATTTCCAAAAATTACACTGACAATGCCGACCACGTGCATTGTTCGATATTAATATCAAAACCACATGAGCAAATATTCGAAAAGCCTGTGCTGGGGTTTATTACTCTATATTTGTTAAAGTGGGTTTGGTTATTAATTGGTTCTAATTGCCTAATCCCGACTATCAGGCTGCTGATTGAACGAGCACTTAATGGTTCTTCATTTGGTCTAATTCAGTTGACGCGTGCTGAAACAAGGTTGTGATCGGTTCACATCGTAAAGCCTTTTCTGGTGCTGAATCTGATAAGATCTCCCGTGAAACCTGTGAGATGCTGTAGTGCAGTCGAACTCCCTCACTCTGTCTGAGGCTCTTTTAGCATCCTTTAGTGTTTGTACCGCATTATTTTTCCCTTTCATGCAATCCATGAATAAGTGTACAGGTAAAATAATTGTTTTTGTAGACGTACGGATGTAGCATTAAACCATTATAAAAATAAACAGACATTAAGCAGACAGTAAATAATGTACACTACAACGGCACCGACAGATGTCATATAGTTTATTAGAAAAACGACAATAACAGCCGCAGCCTTAATAATAATAATAATAATAATAATAATAATAATAATTTAAAAACGAATGTCATTGTCAATTAAGTGTTGTCAGCAAATTGATAAGCAGAAAACGCCAGTTAGGCTCGAATAAATTTAAATGCAGCACCAAAAACTAAAATACTAATTTGTTTAATTTCTTTATTCTTCAAAAAGTGAATTTTGACAATTTCAGATGTTGTCGAACAAATGATCTTTCAGGTCAAATGAAAGACGCAGAAAAAATCATCCGGTTGCGGGTCCGACCTGTTAGGCAGAGACATGTAGCAAAAAAAGGAAGGAAAGAAACATATTAAAGAAAAAAAAAAACAGCTGCCGATTATCTTCGATTCGTCCAATTTAATAGTGTTTTTCATTTAATTTATTAGCTAAATGGTAAAGGTTAACGGATAATTATAGGCTACGTTCTCGTGCAAGTTGAGAAAAGCTCAACTAAACGGGGTTAGGAAAAATCATTAGTTATTTGTGGTCTATGCGAGATATTTTTATTTGTTTATTTGTAATATGTTCTGAAATTAATTTAATTTACAAATAAAATGATCCCGTTCAGATTTTGGCAAATAAACGATTTCCCCCCTCTTGGTTTTTAAGTTCAGCTTGTTTTGCGGTCTTCTGTACAGATCAAATGCGTTTGTGGCATATCTGTGCATACAAATTTTCTTTCTTTCTTTCTTTCTTTCTTTCTTTCTTTCTTTCTTTCTTTCTTTCTTTCTTTCTTTCTTTCTTTCTTTCTTTCTTTCTTTCTTTCTTTCTTTCTAAATTTGATCAGGTGCATGTTTGAGTACTGTGTGTGTACTGAAGCGTGTGTACATGTGATTATAGTGAAGTGTCTATTTTTCTTTTTTTTTTTTTCCCCCTCTCTGTGCTGCATGTGTGTGTGGGTGCGAGATGAAACGACTTTTGGCTGGCCTTGGTTGAGAGAAAGAGAAGGGTGGAGTGGAGAAGAGGAGAGGAGAGTGAAAGAGGATATGTGGTTAGGGAGACACCCACCACCTTTTTTCGGCAGATAGAGCAGAGCCCAGGGCAGTGCCAACACCATCACCACAGCTATTGCTGACTAAGATGGAGCAGTCACAGGAAATGTGACTGTTTCAACCTTTGGTGACAAAAAGGTGCCTGTCACAGGGTCATTGTCAAAACAGAGATAAGTTACGTTTGCAGTTAAAATGAACAAACATACATAATTATTGGGGGTGGGGGTGAGGGGGGGGGCAGCAACTAAAACAGCAACTAAAGGAAAAGAGTGTTCATGGAGTCAACTCTCCATATCACTGCAGAGAAGAGGCTGCTGGTTCAGGGGTCTTTGTGCTGAATGGATGTAGCTCCTGCCGTTAACTACTGACCCTGTTAAGTAATGGACTCAGTTGAGGGGAGTAATCTCACCTGGCTCAGGGATGCTTTCTTTCCTAATTCCTCTCGCTTTCCCCGACAGACAGCCTCTTAATGTTTTCAAGGAGAAACTGGAATGTGGAGGAAGCAGAGAGGGCGGGGAGAGGATCAGAGAAACAGAGTGATAAACTTTTTTTTTCGCTGTTTTTGTTGTAAAGAGAGAGTGCTTGCTGGCGTGTTTTATTGTGGAAGTCAAGAGTTACAAAAAGGTGCATGTAGAGGTGATGAGCAGATGAGAGACAAAAGACAGAGATGTTTTGGCGACTGGATACTAAAAAGATTTTTTTTTACTGTGTTTGTGTGTGTGTGTGTGTGTGTGTGTGTGTGTGTGTGTGTGTGTGTGTGTGTGTGTGTGTGTGTGTGTGTGTGTGTGTGTGTGTGTGTGTGAATGTGTGTTTGTCATTCCTGTACATAAGCGATACGTGCCAGCTATTGTGCTGCCTACACCTCAGCCTACATCCCTACTGTCAATGCGATTTGTTGGAACTATTATTGTTTCTACTTTGAGAGGCAAAAAACAAAGAAAGAAATGTTCAGTATTTCTCACTCCATTTAAGTGATTACGTAAGGAATGCATTAATCACTATGCTACAGTTATGGCTTTTAATAAACATGTTGTTTAAAGTGGTTTCTGTGTTAGATTAGTTTTAATATTCATGATTTAATTCCCTCAATTTCACTGTTTACAAAGCAATGGTAGAATATTAAGCTAAAATGCTCTTGAGAAATATCACTAAACTGTTATTGTTTTCAGTGTTCTTCTCAAAAATATTTTTTCTCTAAAATTTTATATTTTATAAGTTGAAAACGCAATTTGTAGTGCTGCTGCTCAGACTGTCTTCTTTCTTTCTTTCTTTCTTTCTTTCTTTCTTTCTTTCTTTCTTTCTTTCTTTCTTTCTTTCTTTCTTTCTTTCTTTCTGTTTTATTTTACATTTTGTTTATATTACATATCTCAAAGCGGTGATGAAGATGCTAGGAAGATGAAGAGAGGGAGCATGCGAAAATGTGGGACATAAACGGCTTGTTTTTAGGGAAGGGGAAGTGGTCCCTGTGGGCTGAGAAATTCACTCTTCTGGCT